ATTTGTTTTTCTCTCCAAAAGATTAAAAAAACCTCAACAATGGACAGAACATAAAAGTGAAATTTAAATGCTAAAGAATAAGCTAAAAGTTAATACTGCTTAATTATCTTTGTTATACCTGAATCCCAGGACTGTAAATTACAAAATACAAGTAAAATCACATTTCTTGAAGTAACAGTAAACAAAAGAAAGTCAAATACTACATACCAAAGGATCAAAATGTCTTTTGAGTCTAAGATTCTTGAAACTAGTAAAAATGTTAATAATAGTAATATCCTGCCATTAATCTGTATAGATCATCAAATATAAAAACAATTTATAAAACACATCAGAATTTTATTGCTTGAGGAATACAGCATATGAAATCACAAGAATGTCAAAATGAAAGTCACTAGGCTTCAGACATATTCGATGCAGTAAAATATTAATCTGAACTCTGCATCAGAAAAAAAAGGTGTGGAAAAATATCTAAGTTGTTTACTTAAGAAATAGATATACTTAAAATAGAAAATATAAGGATGTTACATACAAATTAGAAAAGCCAACACTTAATTATTTCTTAAACTAGACTACCTTTGGTACTTAAACTTTTAAAAAAAACAATCCCTTCTATCTTGTCCAAAGCACTTCATAAATACAGTATCAACTTCAAGTTAAGAAGTTCAGCCAGATTAACCTTTCCATGGCATGGAGGAAGTGTATTTAATAAATGTATGACAATGTTTCATTTTTTTCTAAAACTGCAAAATGATAATTAGGAAATTCTATTAAGTATAAACTTTACTTATTTAGCTCTCAAATTAAAATCAGAATCCTGGCAGCTCCATCTATCCTTGGGCTTGATGAATATAGAAATTCATATGATTTGGCAACTTACATAGAAATTTAGATTACTTCATACTATCTCAAATGGCTTCTCCATTCTGTTTGCAAAACACAAACATTAGGTCATTTCTTCAACACAATGGATTCCTATAAAAATCATTATCATACTTTATTAGAACCAAATTAAAGCTCTTCCTTTTAATGAGTTGATTGAAACTATTTCTTATAGGGTTGAGAAGTTATGACACACTTTCTTAAGCAAAACCAATCATTTTTTAAAGCTATCATTCAATGATGATGGAGACAATGATGTCATTTCAAAAAACAGCATTGGACACAGTAGCCATCTAGTCAAGAAAATGTAAAAGTAATGATAAAAACAATAACTATAACTACAAGTTAAATTACAAAACAAATCCCTCTTTTATAGCAAGCACGCTTACTAGCTTTCATTTCTTTCCCCACCAAAGGCTTGAATATTCATGAACCTTAGCTAACCCAGTGGAACCCAAGCTCCAATAAACATGGATGGACTAAGCATGTAATAGTATTAACAAATTATTGGAGTGAAATAGTAAGAAACATGACAATTCTTGCAATTGGGCAGTCTTTGAAATGTAATAGTGTACCTCAAAATGAATTATGCCATGATAAAATTGTAGTTTTTACTTCTTCATAAAGCAAGAACAAACCAAAAACCTAACGCACCAAATTTATACAACTGTGGAACATAATCCTTCCTAGTTTTTGAATGTCTTTTGAGATTTTTTTAAGCAAGTATATTTATCTGAGCATATATGTTTATTGCTTATATATATATGTGTGTGTGTGTGTGTGCGTATACATATATACTCATTTTAAAAGACAAAAAATTCAGATACTACAGAACTGAACTGTTTTTTCACCAACCTGATCTAATGTCTATTGCATCAAACAGCACCCCCCCAATAAATTAAAATTCCCAATTTTCAGTTTAGTTAAAAGGGCAGAGGAAATGCAAATGCAGATTTAGAGTTTCTCTATAAATTTCACTGACTTTTATAAACTTGGAGTTTTTTGTAACACTGTTTATTGATCAAATAAAGGACTCACTGCTATCTAAAATTTCATAAACACCATTAAAAATTCAAAATTGATATTACACTGAACCTTAAATTTTCAAGAGTTCAAAGAGAGTTTTTACATGAATAGCACACAATAGATGAAACTTTACAGCAGACATCCCTAGAGTACCAATGGCAAGTCCACCAAGATGCATACAAATTTACAGATAAGCATTTCTTTCACTGTTTTCTTGTGCAAGGAAAAACATTTACAGAGGAAACAGAAATTCAGCTGGTGAATTTCAGATATCATCATCATCTTCTTCATCCTGAGAAGATCCTGCCTGGTTAGAGGCACTGGCTGAGGCAGCAGCAAGCTGTGCTTGTTGGGCTGCTTGCTGCATTTGAAGCCATTCCTGCTGGGCCAATTCTGCTTGCTGCTGTCTAGCCTAAACACCAAAAACATAAAAACAAGTGATTTTTAAAAACACCACATCACACACACTTTGATTAAATGTAGGGCAAGCTAATTACAGCCTTAGTGATCATCAAATTTCTATATAGTTGTTATGCATTGGAGAACTCTATAAGATATAGTGAGAGTGCTTCTCAGTCAGTGCTCTAAGGAGAGTTTCCAAAACTTAATTCTCTTATAGATAGTTCTATTTTCTGCAACATAATTTAAGACTTTTGGTTCAATTGAAGCAGCTGAAAAAGTTGATAGAAAAATCACAATATTCTGTTTCCTTTCCCTGCATTTCTATCTTCCAATCATTTCACTTGATTTTTCTATCTTCTCAATTTAAAACTTTGATGTCAATATTTCACAATCTAAAAATTATTTCTTTGGTTTAAAGTTCTCTAGTACAGTATAACCCTTAAGGAAAAGTACTATACATGAATGCAATACTGCGTTAATATTTCTTTTGAGCGCCTGTTACAATTTCCTACCCTATATATACATGTCTCTTTCTCTGTCCCTCTCTCCTTTATAAATACATACGTATACACAGATATACATACTAGTGAAATGACACTCGTCTAGGACTGAATTTAAGTGGGGCAGTGAAAATCCATTTACTTGATATACCCTCTATAAAAACGACCACAAGACTTTAGAAACCAAGACGTATACACATGCATTACAAGCACTGCTGTAACAGCTAAGGTCCCTTCTAATGTACATGCACTGTTCCAACAGCTAAGGCTCCTTCTCAATTCAGTTTTATCCATTAGGAGAAAAACCACACCAAGAAGAGAAAAAATGAATCTGTTCTTGAAAAAAATCATGTAGTTTCCCATTAGATTCTACCAAAACAATGCTGGTTCTCCCTCTCTGCCTCTTCTCAGAATTGTTCTTCAGGCATGACTCATACCCTCCTTTATGCATGGTCAACTCTCAGCCATCATTTTAAACACAAATTTAAAAAAATGCACTTAAAAAATTTAAGGAAAAACACAAATCAGTCGTTCTTGGCCCTTCTGGGTTATATTGTCTCTATCTCATGTGCCATAATTCTCTATACATTGCCATACCTATCTACTTTGTTCTCTACTTACCTGAGTAAATATCTTTTTTTACTTGAAAATATAGACTGTTTACATATTCATTGTTGCATTCCAATCACATTAGACCCTCAATATTTTCTGAATGAATGTTTTGTGGGAAAACAGTGATGCTCAGCATAAACTCTAACATTAAAATTTTACCATGTTCATTCCTAACTTACTTCGATAATCTGTCATGAATTTATTATCCAAACATTTCTAGAGGAAGATTCTATTCAGGTCATTATACTTTTTAAAAAATCATCAAATTTCTTAGTTTAGAGTTTAAGGTCCTCCAAATTACTGCTTGCCCCAACCTATCTAATCTTTTTTCTATAACATGTACCTTGTGCTCCAAAAAACCCCTAGAACATAAAATGCTCCTCAAATATACACCATACTCTCACATTTTTGCTACCTTTACTCATGCTAAGATTCTATTTGAGGTTTCCTGATTTTTCACTTACTGTAATTCCATTCTTCCTTCAGGTCAAACTAAAATACTATATTCTCCATTCACTTTTTTTTCCTGATCCTTCCCAGTATCACTCAGGATCTAATCAGGAGACAGAGTTACGTGAGTTAGAGGAACAGAAAGACTATAATATAAAAGATTGAGAGGGGGAAGATGGGTGAAATAGGTAAAGGGGATAGAAGCATAAATTTCCAATTGTAAAATAATTAAGCCACGGGGATAAAAAATACAGCCTAGGGCACATACTCAATAATATTGTAATAAACTTTGTAGGGTGACAGATGATAACTACATTTATCATGGTGAGCATTTTGTAATGTATATAGCTGTCCAATCACTATGCTGTACACATGAAACTTATATGCCAACTGTACTTCAACAAAAAGAATTTTAGTTACATGCACTATAAAAAAAAAGACTGCTAACCAAGTATAAAGTTGGTAACTAGATAACTGAAAAGAACAAACACTAAGCTATCATGCAGGGGGCAATGACACAAAGCAGCAACCAATCCTATAATTGGGGGAATAAGGAAGAGGATGGAATTTTAAACTTCAAGGAACAACCGGTGGAACTAGAAATCAGACCGCTGAAGAAGCGGCATACATTGGCTGGTACCAGCATCTCTGAACTTGGAGGAGAGCCCTAAATTTGAGACCCACATCCCTGAGAAAGGGGATGAGTATTGAGGCTGGTTCTGTAAGTATTAGACAAACTGCAAACTAGATTCAGTTACTGCTTCAGGAAAAAACCAATGCAGCCAGGGTAAAGCATTACTAGGCTATTCAAAGGAATTTGAAGACAGCAGGAAGTAAAAGAAAGGAACCCCAAAGGCTGCTTTCCACCCTCGGTTTTGCAACTTCCCTCTAGAGCCCTCTACTGGCAACAGGTCTAACGGAAGTCAGCTAGAAAAGCAGAACATGGTTTGCAGAGTCCTAGGCTTGGTCACAAAGTGGAGCATAGAGAGGAGGAGGGTTTCAGCATAGCCTACTGCTTAGTGACTGGCAGACTGTTATGTCTCTGTCCTTGGGATCTTTTTATACCCTCCTCATGAAAGAAGTCAGCCTCACCTTATACTTGTTAGTATACCTCTATCATACGTCCTCAATAAGACAAAAATATTTTTGTTCAAGAAATTAGAAACCAGATATTCTCTACTTTCACTCAGTTTTATGTATATTAAAAACTGTTATTATAACACAAAGGCATATTTACTTTTATGATGGGAATACCCAGAGTTCAAAATAGACTAAGAGTGCTTCATAGAAAACATTGTAAGCACTTAAAACAAAATTGAAGGGCAAACCATGTCTGTGAATTTAATCAACATAAGAATACCTACTCTGTTGCCTAATTAAGTACAAACAGATATAATTTCATGCCACAGGAAAATAATTTCAATTCTCTACACAGGTTTTATTGCAAAGACGCTTCATCTCATAGTTTATTCAATAATCTGCAAAGACATGTACTAGTTACACTTAACTTTTAGGTATTGTGGCCTCATTATCAGCTTCCATACTTCTCTGTCTGAACATAAAAGTATTCTTATGCTTTAAAAGTCATTGCTGATTGACAAATTTTATTTGTATTAATTTCTACAAATTAAAATTTCCAAATATTTTCCTTCTAAAATGCTAGTGTGAAAAAGAGGTGGGTAGGCATATATTTCCTAATTCATTTCTTCTTTTGGGATTTTTATTATGTTTTTTTAAGAGTCTCACTCCCACATACTAAAATGACTTATTTATAATTTATAGTTAATTTTAAACTCAATTCATTAATGGTTCCCTTATTCTAAGTATTTGCTGCTAGTAGTAAAAGACAGCTTCAAATAAAGCTGCTACTGTGTTAGTACTTAAAATAAAGTCTAAAAGATTAAATAAAATTAAAGTGATTTAAAGGATGTTATATTTACTTNCAAACCAAAAACCTAACGCACCAAATTTATACAACTGTGGAACATAATCCTTCCTAGTTTTTGAATGTCTTTTGAGATTTTTTTAAGCAAGTATATTTATCTGAGCATATATGTTTATTGCTTATATATATATATGTGTGTGTGTGTGTGTGTGCGTATACATATATACTCATTTTAAAAGACAAAAAATTCAGATACTACAGAACTGAACTGTTTTTTCACCAACCTGATCTAATGTCTATTGCATCAAACAGCACCCCCCCAATAAATTAAAATTCCCAATTTTCAGTTTAGTTAAAAGGGCAGAGGAAATGCAAATGCAGATTTAGAGTTTCTCTATAAATTTCACTGACTTTTATAAACTTGGAGTTTTTTGTAACACTGTTTATTGATCAAATAAAGGACTCACTGCTATCTAAAATTTCATAAACACCATTAAAAATTCAAAATTGATATTACACTGAACCTTAAATTTTCAAGAGTTCAAAGAGAGTTTTTACATGAATAGCACACAATAGATGAAACTTTACAGCAGACATCCCTAGAGTACCAATGGCAAGTCCACCAAGATGCATACAAATTTACAGATAAGCATTTCTTTCACTGTTTTCTTGTGCAAGGAAAAACATTTACAGAGGAAACAGAAATTCAGCTGGTGAATTTCAGATATCATCATCATCTTCTTCATCCTGAGAAGATCCTGCCTGGTTAGAGGCACTGGCTGAGGCAGCAGCAAGCTGTGCTTGTTGGGCTGCTTGCTGCATTTGAAGCCATTCCTGCTGGGCCAATTCTGCTTGCTGCTGTCTAGCCTAAACACCAAAAACATAAAAACAAGTGATTTTTAAAAACACCACATCACACACACTTTGATTAAATGTAGGGCAAGCTAATTACAGCCTTAGTGATCATCAAATTTCTATATAGTTGTTATGCATTGGAGAACTCTATAAGATATAGTGAGAGTGCTTCTCAGTCAGTGCTCTAAGGAGAGTTTCCAAAACTTAATTCTCTTATAGATAGTTCTATTTTCTGCAACATAATTTAAGACTTTTGGTTCAATTGAAGCAGCTGAAAAAGTTGATAGAAAAATCACAATATTCTGTTTCCTTTCCCTGCATTTCTATCTTCCAATCATTTCACTTGATTTTTCTATCTTCTCAATTTAAAACTTTGATGTCAATATTTCACAATCTAAAAATTATTTCTTTGGTTTAAAGTTCTCTAGTACAGTATAACCCTTAAGGAAAAGTACTATACATGAATGCAATACTGCGTTAATATTTCTTTTGAGCGCCTGTTACAATTTCCTACCCTATATATACATGTCTCTTTCTCTGTCCCTCTCTCCTTTATAAATACATACGTATACACAGATATACATACTAGTGAAATGACACTCGTCTAGGACTGAATTTAAGTGGGGCAGTGAAAATCCATTTACTTGATATACCCTCTATAAAAACGACCACAAGACTTTAGAAACCAAGACGTATACACATGCATTACAAGCACTGCTGTAACAGCTAAGGTCCCTTCTAATGTACATGCACTGTTCCAACAGCTAAGGCTCCTTCTCAATTCAGTTTTATCCATTAGGAGAAAAACCACACCAAGAAGAGAAAAAATGAATCTGTTCTTGAAAAAAATCATGTAGTTTCCCATTAGATTCTACCAAAACAATGCTGGTTCTCCCTCTCTGCCTCTTCTCAGAATTGTTCTTCAGGCATGACTCATACCCTCCTTTATGCATGGTCAACTCTCAGCCATCATTTTAAACACAAATTTAAAAAAATGCACTTAAAAAATTTAAGGAAAAACACAAATCAGTCGTTCTTGGCCCTTCTGGGTTATATTGTCTCTATCTCATGTGCCATAATTCTCTATACATTGCCATACCTATCTACTTTGTTCTCTACTTACCTGAGTAAATATCTTTTTTTACTTGAAAATATAGACTGTTTACATATTCATTGTTGCATTCCAATCACATTAGACCCTCAATATTTTCTGAATGAATGTTTTGTGGGAAAACAGTGATGCTCAGCATAAACTCTAACATTAAAATTTTACCATGTTCATTCCTAACTTACTTCGATAATCTGTCATGAATTTATTATCCAAACATTTCTAGAGGAAGATTCTATTCAGGTCATTATACTTTTTAAAAAATCATCAAATTTCTTAGTTTAGAGTTTAAGGTCCTCCAAATTACTGCTTGCCCCAACCTATCTAATCTTTTTTCTATAACATGTACCTTGTGCTCCAAAAAACCCCTAGAACATAAAATGCTCCTCAAATATACACCATACTCTCACATTTTTGCTACCTTTACTCATGCTAAGATTCTATTTGAGGTTTCCTGATTTTTCACTTACTGTAATTCCATTCTTCCTTCAGGTCAAACTAAAATACTATATTCTCCATTCACTTTTTTTTCCTGATCCTTCCCAGTATCACTCAGGATCTAATCAGGAGACAGAGTTACGTGAGTTAGAGGAACAGAAAGACTATAATATAAAAGATTGAGAGGGGGAAGATGGGTGAAATAGGTAAAGGGGATAGAAGCATAAATTTCCAATTGTAAAATAATTAAGCCACGGGGATAAAAAATACAGCCTAGGGCACATACTCAATAATATTGTAATAAACTTTGTAGGGTGACAGATGATAACTACATTTATCATGGTGAGCATTTTGTAATGTATATAGCTGTCCAATCACTATGCTGTACACATGAAACTTATATGTCAACTGTACTTCAACAAAAAGAATTTTAGTTACATGCACTATAAAAAAAAAGACTGCTAACCAAGTATAAAGTTGGTAACTAGATAACTGAAAAGAACAAACACTAAGCTATCATGCAGTGGGCAATGACACAAAGCAGCAACCAATCCTATAATTGGGGGAATAAGGAAGAGGATGGAATTTTAAACTTCAAGGAACAACCGGTGGAACTAGAAATCAGACCGCTGAAGAAGCGGCATACATTGGCTGGTACCAGCATCTCTGAACTTGGAGGAGAGCCCTAAATTTGAGACCCACATCCCTGAGAAAGGGGATGAGTATTGAGGCTGGTTCTGTAAGTATTAGACAAACTGCAAACTAGATTCAGTTACTGCTTCAGGAAAAAACCAATGCAGCCAGGGTAAAGCATTACTAGGCTATTCAAAGGAATTTGAAGACAGCAGGAAGTAAAAGAAAGGAACCCCAAAGGCTGCTTTCCACCCTCGGTTTTGCAACTTCCCTCTAGAGCCCTCTACTGGCAACAGGTCTAACGGAAGTCAGCTAGAAAAGCAGAACATGGTTTGCAGAGTCCTAGGCTTGGTCACAAAGTGGAGCATAGAGAGGAGGAGGGTTTCAGCATAGCCTACTGCTTAGTGACTGGCAGACTGTTATGTCTCTGTCCTTGGGATCTTTTTATACCCTCCTCATGAAAGAAGTCAGCCTCACCTTATACTTGTTAGTATACCTCTATCATACGTCCTCAATAAGACAAAAATATTTTTGTTCAAGAAATTAGAAACCAGATATTCTCTACTTTCACTCAGTTTTATGTATATTAAAAACTGTTATTATAACACAAAGGCATATTTACTTTTATGATGGGAATACCCAGAGTTCAAAATAGACTAAGAGTGCTTCATAGAAAACATTGTAAGCACTTAAAACAAAATTGAAGGGCAAACCATGTCTGTGAATTTAATCAACATAAGAATACCTACTCTGTTGCCTAATTAAGTACAAACAGATATAATTTCATGCCACAGGAAAATAATTTCAATTCTCTACACAGGTTTTATTGCAAAGACGCTTCATCTCATAGTTTATTCAATAATCTGCAAAGACATGTACTAGTTACACTTAACTTTTAGGTATTGTGGCCTCATTATCAGCTTCCATACTTCTCTGTCTGAACATAAAAGTATTCTTATGCTTTAAAAGTCATTGCTGATTGACAAATTTTATTTGTATTAATTTCTACAAATTAAAATTTCCAAATATTTTCCTTCTAAAATGCTAGTGTGAAAAAGAGGTGGGTAGGCATATATTTCCTAATTCATTTCTTCTTTTGGGATTTTTATTATGTTTTTTTAAGAGTCTCACTCCCACATACTAAAATGACTTATTTATAATTTATAGTTAATTTTAAACTCAATTCATTAATGGTTCCCTTATTCTAAGTATTTGCTGCTAGTAGTAAAAGACAGCTTCAAATAAAGCTGCTACTGTGTTAGTACTTAAAATAAAGTCTAAAAGATTAAATAAAATTAAAGTGATTTAAAGGATGTTATATTTACTTTATCAGTTCCTTTCATATTTTGGACTTAAGACCTTAGTGCTCTAAGGCAGAAGTACTAGGTAGCTGCTATAATTTTACCTCCCTGCTAATTTTCCTCAGAGGAGCAAAGATACACTAGCGGTTCTTCACCCACAGGTCAAGGCAAGAAAGAAGGGAGATAAGGAAGAAGAAATAAAAGACAGATGACAAGGATAGAGGTGAAGACAGTTTTGGCAGTCAGTCAATTAATTTCTTTAATCATTTTTGCCCTGGAAAGGATATAACATTTTCCACTTAAAAGTTCCAATTAAATGAAGCAGACAAAACAGTTGCTAGAGCATTAGCATGGTATTGTAGAAAGGGCACAGGTTTTGGGAATCAGAAGATGTGAGTCTGAATTTAGATTCTAATACTTCCTAACTGTATGAACTTAGCTGTTTCATTTGTTTAAGTAAATCCTTGCCAGTAAACTAAGTTCCTAAGAAAGGAACAATGTTTCTTTTGTATACTGTTTTAAGTCTAGCACCTAGCACTATGGTAAATAGTAAGGACTTCAGTAAATTGTTTTGTAGAACAAATGAATGAATGCTCTCTTTCAAGTTTCTCCATCTCTGAGTCTGTTTCTTAATGTGTAAATGGATATAATAAAATTTATATTATTCATAAAAGCTTGGCAAAGTATGTAAAGTATTAGTAGGGAATCATTTTCCTTTTATCAAACTTAATTTGGCACCCTCTAGGTGATATGCAATAGCAGAAAATCAATAAAGAATGGCTATTTGTTTTTTTTAAATCATCACTCTTTCTTTGTTACCTCATATTCATATGGTTTATAACAGTATTTTGTATGTGTTCATGTCTCCCTCAAAGGTTTTTCCTCTTTAGTACCTACCTTATACGTCTTGCAGCATTAATGAAAACAATACAGGCAAATTACTTGGTAACATGTTTAACACAAGGTTAGAACTCAATAAATGTTAGTAAGCTTTTATTTTTATTAGTTTAAACATTATCTTGTGTCTACTACCTGGTAACACTTAAAATCCAAATGCTTTTTGATGTACATTGAACTAGTTGTTATTAATACAGAGATTAGCTGTGGTGCTAATCTGGAAGAGATTACCTAAAATGACATTTGCCAGTTCTAATACTGCCAGTAACTACAGTAACTGGTAGGAAATCTCACTTCTTCTATTTAACCCAATTTCAAATGAGAGGTCAGTACTTAGTAGGGAAAAAACAGCCTCACCTTCTCCACATCTTGTTTTAAAATGGAGGGATATTAGTACTAGGTGTTAATCCTTCACAGACTGCACATCAGAACTGTTAACAAGCAAGAAAGAAGAAAAGTTTTCTTCCTTTCTCGGTTCCACTGGCCCTTCAGAACATTTTAAGATCAGAGTGTTTTAAAGATGTACTAAAGATCTAATTTAACTACAAAATAGACATTTATCAGATTTTCCTTATATGCCACTTGTCCTAAAGTCTGGTACAGTATTTTCTCATCAGCTCATCATTTTAAACCTTAAGAATGTTTAAACATATTTTTCATGCAAAATGGTCATTCTGTCTTAAAAAACATCAAAGTAAAATTTCAGTAGTTATTTGGAGCTGTTCTTAGAAAATAGGTTGCTGTAAACACTTACTTTTATATGAAGTACATAACTGGTCAGATCTAAACATCAGACTATGATCAAACAATGAGCCATGGAGAGAAAATCCTCTGGGAATATACACTGATTTAGGAAATGATTTCAGAAGCCAGTATGATTTCTGTTAACAAACAGGGTAGGATTCAGATGAAAATAATTTAAAATGCATAACTTACTTTTGCAAATAATTCCTGTTGTTGTCTCAATAACTCTTCTTCAGGAATGCCAAGGTTTTCCAAACGAGAACTGGCCTTTCTTCTTTTTAATGCTACAGTCTTGCATTCTTGTAAGACTTCTTTTACTTCACTGATATAAGAACCAAAGCCCAGACTTTCCAGTGCTGGGGAAATGAAAATAAGAAAATACAAAAGGGTGATAGAACACAGCTTTCCCCTCACCTATGAAACTTTGGGTTTTGGGAGGGGACAGTAGGAGGTTTTTCTTTCTAATAATTTTACCCATTTTAGAGTTTCCCAGCAACTTTCTGGATGGCTAAGACAAAAATATTTTATCAACTTTCTTATTATTAGGATACAAATTAGTTAAAATTTACAGAACCATTTCAAGGCACAGGCCCTCACTTTTCCTTTCCTTTCTAATTTTTTAAAAACCTAAGTATTTCCTATGAGAAAAAAAGAGGTCCAATGTAAGAACATACGGTTTTCTCAAGAAAACATTTGTCCTGTACCACTCATAGTAAATCAAACATCATTAAGTCAGTCACTTTCTCAAAGAATACAAAAAAGCAAATATTTTTAATGTATTTGTTAATAACATATTTTGTGCCATTTGGCTTAGAAAAAGGGTAGCAACACATGCTTCAAGTTCCAGTAGGACAGGATGAAAGACTAGATTAAAGTTCTTTTGTGTAATACACCAACAGGAAACTATTTTTACCAAAGACTCTCAAACTGCCAACTTTAAGAAATACTAGTGGAAATAACTTATAAAATTCAGCATTTTTATTCAGCCAAAAGTTTCCCTTGAAAACAAAACTTAACATGAAGCACTATAAAAACATATTTCAAATAATGTGGTAGAAAAACTGGGATAAAGGAAGAATGTAAGGATAGAATAAGCTTTAACAAAAAACTCTCTAAATTTTTTCACATTTAGAAACAAAATTTTACAAGAAAATAATACAGTCTCTAAATGTCTCCTGTAATCCAAAAGATAAAGTATAAAATTTCCTTTTGGCTGGTAGTATTAAAGTTATATTTTATAGATTTTTACATGTTGACTAATAACCCAAAGGCATATTTTGTTTTCTGAGACAATAATGAAATAAAAGTGGTAAAAACACAATAAATTAATCTAACTTAGTTCACCAATTCTTGCAGTATTTTAACAATTATGATGAAACAGAATGTCCTTAGTAAAGATGCCCTGAATTCTAACTTGAGGGATTTGCACTTCAGGGAGAATACCAAATATACATTCCCAGGTAAACTGGCCTTGAGACATTTTGAATGACTTTCAACTTTACTTCAAATTCAAATGTTAAAGCTGTTTGCATTAATCTTCTTAGGAATAATCTGATGCTAAAAAGCAAGCACAGTACTTGGATTTTAATCAATTTACTGATCCCTGCTCTGCCCACCAAAACACTTCTGTAAAGCATTCTGAATTCTGTACATTAAATTAACCACCATATAATTCTTGGCCCTAAAGAGCTTGGGGCATTGTGCAAAATTAAATGAAGATCAGTAGCCTGCAATTTTTACTTGAACTGACAGATTATTTTTCAAGTGTTAATGCAAGAAGACAAAATTTTTATCTTTTCTCTTTTTTAAAGGTACAAGCATAGCAGTCTTTTCAATAATACTGGCTGGAGACAATACCAAAAGAAATCAAAGTAATGGGTTATGGTTTCCCATCACATTCTGAAGAAAGTCTTACTTCCTTAGCCCTACTCTGAAGTTCCCAGCATCTAGCCCCACCTACTTTCCCAGCTTCATTTTTTGCCAGTAAGTCCCTGCATACTTAGGCTAAACCTGACTGCTTAATGTTTTCCAACAGGCACCAGTTTTCGACATTCATGCTGACAGTAATGCATTAAAGGTCCAGATCAAACTCTACCTTCAAATTAAATTTGCCTGATCCTGCAAGACAGAAGTAATCTCCCCTTTCTGAAATCAGATAGAGGTAGAATTTGAACTTGGTTGTCTCTGTATTTGTATAATCTTGGATATGTTGCTTAACACCTCTAAGCTTCAGTTTTCCCTCTCTAAAATGAGAATAGCACCTATTTTATACTATCTTCCTAGAAACCAGAAAGTATAGCAGTTAAGCATGGAAGCCCTAAAGCTGCCAGGGATTAACCTCCAGCTCGGCCTAATATTAGCTGTGTGAACTTAGACAAGTTTCTTTACCTCTGTGGCTCTAACACAAGAATAACATATCTACATCTCATCCAATCTGGTTGCTGTGAAGAATAAATGAATTAATATTAACAAAAAGCTTAGAACAGAGGCTGGTCAACTGAAAGAGCAAAAAAAAGTATTCATTATTTAATTTGTATTAGTTCTAGGGTTGTAGGTATAAACAATTATTCTATGATATTTAACATAGTGTCTAGCATATGAGTCACTTACTGACTTGAACTATGTATTTTTTCCTTTATTTTTTTCTCTTACACTTAAAAGAGTACCCTACTAATTGTGTAGACCTAAAAAAATGTACAGCCATGCATTATCACACTTAACTTCAAGAACAAGTATATTTATAATATAAAATACTAAATTTACAAAATACATAAATCAACAAAATGGAGACAACTCTTCAAAATGTCATGAACCACTGGATTAGACATTTAAAAAATCCAATCCAAACTACCTTTAACCATGCAAGGTTTAGGTTAAAAATTTAAAAAACAAACAAAAAAAACCCTAAGCCCAAACCCTCAACTTTAAGAACATTGAAGGTTGAAAACACTACTATAAAAAACACTTCAAGTAAATCCAAGTTTACTATTTAATATTATTCAAAGGGCTGCTATATACAAATACTATACTCTCAATACATTGGTTCAACAGGTGCAGCCATAAATTTAATTTCAAAAACTGCACTGACTTCAATACAAATTTTATACCCAAATGGCTAACATATCAATAACTGGGTATAGTATCTTCTAAACAGGGAGATATTTTACATCATTTTGGTGCTCATTGTCATTTCACACAAAGGAGAACCTTAAAGGATAAGGTAAATGGCTCATAAGCATGGCCACCATTTACACTTGTACAAGTTGTTCAGTGCACAACAGTATCCTATCCAAGGAGAGCCATTCATAGATTTGTAAACATCATAGATGCTTAATTTGATCCTGCAAGGCTAAGTGACAAGTGAACAGGTAAAATGTCTTGAAGCAGTCCAGTTCATTAAACTCACTACTAAAAAACCCATCATAGATTTGTACGCTCATTATGGTACTTTCTCTGGCAGATGTTGGTAAAGGTTACATTTTTAAGGAAGGAGTGCCTTTTTCTAATTTATATAAAGGGACTTCATGGACTGTTGATTGCCCTAGCTCTAGAAGGACCTCAGAGTAAAAGACCTAAAATAAAAATAATTTTCTAAAAATTTGTGGGTAAAACACACATACCACTTGTTCCTCAGATGTCTGTCTGCTACCCTCTGCTATCTATCTTAAGACTATACCCAGAAAAGTACATGGTATATTGGGATAAGAAAAAAAAAAATTCTAGCACATTTTTTCAATTTGAAAGACAGATGCATCTAACAAAGACAGCCACTTTTAAAAAAAGGTAAAAACTTCCACACAGAAACAATAATTTTAATACAGGCTTATCTTATTTTATAAAAGCTTCATAATCCTGAAAAGTTCTGACATAATAAAAATTTGTGTGAATTGCTTTGTATGCATGTTTTTCATGTAAAAAATTAAAACATTTAAGATAGCATTCTCTTATTTCTCTTTTCTTTTGTATGCTGGGGGAAAGAGGGTGATGTAACTCACTTAAAATACATTAAGAGGATGTAGGCCAAAGTGACTTCTTGGTTCACTGGTCTGGCAAGTTTCTGAAGACCCTGAAGAACTATGTCCCCTATGGTATCACTACTCCTGGAAATATGGGACAACAATGAAGAGACTGATGCAGAGTAGGAGTCAAATATCATTCATCTTTGTAACCTTAGCAGTATCCAGCACAATGCAAAGGACATAGTAGTATTCAAAAGTAATTTTTGAGTGGCAAAAGAAAAACAAAAACAAAAGATATAGCAAGTTTAAGGAAAAATGGTAAAATCCTACCTTGACATAAAGAACAGTTAACACTAGAGGATTAAATATGGCGGTGTGAGAGGAGAAACAGAGGCTTCCTCCTAAAACTGTATACAATTAGAAAATATAGTTGGTGTAACTAATCCTGAGAGAGCAACAGGAAAGAGGACAGCGCGAGACTGCACACACCTGGAGAAAAGAGCAGACCTCACGAAACAGGGTAACTACCAAAGCTGTGGCCCAGCGGGACCCAAGTCCTTCCCCAACCCCAGCTCACAGGCAGGAGGAAGAGAAACAGAGAGGGGAGAGAGTGGAAGGCCTGGGACTGCTGAATACCTAGCTCCGGAGATCTGCTCTGGGAGCACAAACATACATTTCATGGTGCTTTCATGGTACTCGCATGATTACCGGGTTGGAAAGCTAATAAAGGCAGAATTCCTGGAGAGACTGAGATTCCAGCCACTTGTGGAAAGCAGGGATCCATATCCGGCTGCTCTGGGACAAAAGCTTATACCTGTTTGCTCGGCCCACTGGTTAAGGCAGTGGAGACAGGCACAGCAGCCAGGAGGAAGGGAAAAGCTCTTTCCTCCCCTCAGGCACCAATACCGCCCCCCTACAACCCCCGACATTGCTTCAGGGGCTGAGCAGCTCCAGAGTAGAGCTTCTGGACACTAGAGGGCGCCATATACAAATATGAAACGCCAAAGGCACCTGGTCCAGAGTAAAATTAATATAACTCCGGAGAAAGATTTAAATGACATGGACCTCATGACTCTTCCTGAAAGGGAGTTCAAAATAAAAATCATCAACATGCTAATGGAGGTACAGAAAGATATCCAAGAACTCAGGAGTGAATTCAGGTCAGAGATCCAATCGCTGAAGAGCATGATAGAGGGTATTAAAAGCAGGTTGGATACAGTGGAGGGGACGATAAATGAAGTAGAAACTAGAAAAGAGGAATACAAAGAAGTTGAGGCACAGAGAGAAAAAGGATCTCTAAGAATGAAACAATATTGAGAGAACTGTGTGACTAATCCAAATGGAACAATATTCGCATTATAGGGATACCAAAGGAAGAAGAGAGAAAGGGATAGAAA